CAATTAAATTGCACTAAAGCTTCTTACATAAAGCGATGTAATGAATGACCAGTGGTTTTTTCCATATTGCAAAATATTATCTGTAAATTGTACTTTGCAGATTGCTATATTTAGATATTTAAATTCCAACACATCTTACATCGCTTAGTTTATTTGATATTTCTTGTAGGGAATTCGAAGTTCATAGAGTTTTATGAAATTTATGAATGTAGCAAAGTGAGAGTGATCAGTGATTATACATCTTAAAAAGCAGTCCTTGATGTTTCTATCAAATGCATGTCTATCTATTCATTAAAAATTCAGATCATCACAAAAAGAAAAATGAAAGATTGGAAATCAACAAGCGTAAAAAACTGACTAACTTGAGACTTTCAATCAAACAGGAGTGTTACAGCCAAGTTGACGAAATTTTCCTTCTTTATAATTATTTTAGGTGAAGAATTGCAATCTGTGGAGTTTCCTGCTACAAGAATCACCTCTTGCTGTTTTGGAGGTCCAGATCTGGATGGGCTGTATGTAACAACTTCTGTTCATGAAGCGCCAGAAGAGGAAATAAAGGAATATCCATTGGCAGGGTCTCTGTTTCGGGTCAAGGGACTCGGTGTCAAAGGTTACCCAGCAAATGTATATGAAGGTGATATCCCTTTGGACTAAAATACTAGTAGTTACAGACCTGGGTTTTTTTCAAATTATAAATGAAATGTCCAGTATAAAATTGATTTAATACAAGAATATCTAGACACTTTACACATATAAATTTCTGCCTATACACATGTACAACCTTTTGTATGTAATTGCATTTGTATTAATGTTTGCACTAATTTGTTTTTCTATAATTATAATTTCTGAATAAATCAAGTCATATTTAATGTTGTTTGATATTTTATTTAACCAAAAATCTATCCTAACGATTAGATATTAAAAAAAACAATTTCCTAGTTGCACATGTTATTTATACAAAAGTTCATTTAATTGCAAGAACTTCTGTAAAGGGCTTTCTTTCATTTCATACAAGTTCAGTATAGTTAAGTGTTCAAAATTAAATTTTAATAGTGTATATGGTTCATTATCACTTCTTACAACAACAACAGCATGGACTGTCACATGGACATCAGAGAACACTTTTTTTGACGATTTCTAATGCTTGACCAATTGTATCTCCTCTGTGAAGTTAACCAGTTGCTACTCGAACAGGGTACAGTATGGAAGTGCCTTTTAATCTCTTCTCAGACGAAAATCCTGTTGCATCTTCCCCTGCATTAAAGTACACAAAGTAATCAAATCCCATTAAATTTTCAATCTGTGGGTAAACGAGAAATCTTTTTCTCAAGGTTGATGTTGCAAGTTCCTTTATATACATAGCAACCATTGCCACATTTTTCTCTGACTTTTCAGATCTTCAGGAACCTTATCAGCATATAAATCAATTGATACTTGACCAGGTTGGAAAAATCCTTCAGAGGGAATTTTCAGGAAACCTGAATCATTTGATTGTGACACTTTTGACCTTGATTCGCTAGGCTGGTAAGATGTCTCTAGAATTTTGCTTTTTAAGGGTATAATAGCTAGGTCATTCTCCTGAAGCTTTCCTCCCGCCACCATTTTGGAACATAACAGCAAACAAATCGTAACTATCTTTACTTTCAGGACCATTTCAAGACTATATGGTAGCTAGTCTTTCTTGCCACTCACTAGCAAGGAAAGGCTCCAGGTGCCGTACTTTACACAAACGTCACTCTCTTCTAGATTTCGCACTGCGAATTCAGCATTTGATTCAATGTCTTCTTTCGTCACTTTGCAGAATTTAGCGTCAAAAATGTTAATTACTACCTTTACTCTTTTGGCCTGCTCCCCTGTATAGATATATTCCCCTTCTATTGGTACAAATTTCAGAAATATTGCAGTTTCAAGCAAAAATTTAGAAAAGAGTTCACTATTTCCACATCCTTTGAAGTTCACTATTTCCTCTTGCCTTTTTTATACCGGTATATATTTTGATAATGCTTGCTCTGCACTTTTTCCCAAACTATGATAACTATACAGGTAGTTTAATACAAACTGAAGCAGTCTTGGAGTCATTAGGAAGGGTTTTGAAAATAGATCATAAACTTTTCCCCCTTCTTGTATGAGATCTTCTTCTTGACATCCCAATGACTTTAAACAACCTTTCAAAAATCTTTCCAAAATACTCCTTGTCCAGTTGTAAATCTCTTCCACAGTCAATTTCACCAGAATGTGCACTTGCTGTGAATCCCTTTCCAATGGAAATGAATTTAATTTTTTTCTCTTAGAATATTTCTTTAATTTCGTCAACAAAATGAGAATTGAAAATAGTGATATGGTCTATGATGAGGCAATCCTCTGCTGCAAATTTCTCTGAAAAAACAGTGAACCTTTCCAAGTTTTTATCTCTGATTTCTATTTTATTCAAGTCAATGTAATGAACACTGGTGTCATTGTTTCCTTGACATTCGAGTATGTAGTACAAGATGGAAGATGTTTTTCCCAAGCCCTGAATTCCACTTGGGTAAGTTGACGGCTCTCGATTCTGTCCAAGATAATCGATTATGCCAACAAAGACAGTATGAAATTTAGTCTTGAGGAAGTATTTTCCACATTTAAAATCATCTAATATCTGCAAACAGTCCTAGATCCTCAATGTCTGTTACATGTTGCAGGATATTTTTATCAAATTCATCAGTCAGGGTTTTCTGAAATCTGAAATGACATGATTTTTTTTTCAAAAATACATATTGATAAACATAAAAACAAGGTTGCTTTCTATAAAGGTTAAGTAACTTGAATACATATTAGACATCAATGCATAAATTTGGGTTTCTGTAATTCTGCCACTTTCCCCCCAGAAACTAAATGTACATGGTAATGATCGAGAGAGCAACTTTTTATGAAGTAACCAAAGAGAATTTCAGATAAACAGGAGGTCTATGACCCACAGTGTTCACCTAAGTCATGTTCATCATCAATTTTTTTTTTCCATATATATATATATATATATATATATATATATATATATATATATATATATATATATATATATATATATATATATATATATATATATATATATATATAGACTGTAAAATTTTGATATCCTGTTGTGGCCCAACCCTACCCTTGGGGGCCCTGATTTGAACAAACTTGAATCTACGTATACTTAAACAATAAAATGCTTTCTTTGTTTGTTGTTACTGGAATGAACGGAAGCAGCTGTTGCAGAAAAAATACATAACCCGCGTAAGCGGGTTATGTAATTTTTTTTCTGCAATAGCTGCGACCGTTCATTCCAGTAATAACAAACAAAGAAAGACATTTTATTATTTATATTTATATCTGTTAAAATAATCAATTAAAGTAGGATAAAAAAGATTAATTATTGTATTAATGATGCGAACGTCTTTATACGTTTCATTGATGGAACAGCCACTGATTAAGAAATCTGTACAGGCGACATGCCTACTGCAGTTTATGCAGTGATGAACGCAATGGGGTTTCTTAAGAAATAAAGGAGAAAATATTCAGTGGATGTAAATATAATATAGTGAATACCTGTTAATGCTTGTACGTTAATGATTCATCATATCCCTGTTGTTCTTCATCACAAGATTTTATTTTTTTTTTAATTTTCTGACATTTTTAATCTCCTATTGTAGCCCCACTCAACCCCTGATTTGAACAACTTGAATCTACACTACCTAACAATGTTTGAATATTACTATGAGTTATGACTAATCATAGCCCCATTGTTCTTCTGAAGAAGATTTTTAAGAAGATTAAAAAAGCATTTTTCTGTTAAAATAAATTATTATTAATTAAAAATATATTACCAATAATTACTTGAATCAATTAGTTTCGTGAAAAATCAATCTATTTGACTTCTGTATACGTAGGAGTTGATGGGTTATACCTTCAATATTATTTTAAAAAATCTATTCCGGCTAAATTTCAAAAATGTATATCAAAGTTAAGATTATCATCACACCTGTTAGCTATTGAAACTGGGAGATATAATAAAAACTAACAAATCTCATAGGAAATGTTTTGCTTGTCATAATTGTGTGGAGGACGAATATCATTTTTACTGGTATGCCCTGTTTATGCAGATTATCGAAGCAAATTTATTTAAAAAATACTTCATTAAAAAGCCATCCATGTTCAAATTATTGCAATTGTTTAATACTGAGAACTATAAGGATATGTGTAACCTTGGTAAATATATTTATTATAGCTTGAGGCGAAGAGGTGATCTTGTAATCCGATAATTGTATCTATTCCATTATTTCTTCTTTTTTTTTTTTTGTCTTTACTACTATCATTTATGTACGTACACATTGTTCTCCTGTAAATTATCCACTTCTGTACTGTAATGAAAGTGATTATTTTGTATATATTCTGATAAGCTGTAAATCTTAAAGTAATAATAAAGAAAGAGAGAAAGAAAGAGGAATCCAGAGAGAACTTATTATTTTTAATGATTCCTGTATATTTATTTCACATGAAGTTATTAAAAAAATCTCTTGTCTCCCTTTCATCTCTATAGTCTTTTAAATTGCATTTAGTTTAGATATTCTCTCCACCTGCAAAGAAATAATCTTTACTCAGATAAAGAGGAGAACAAAGTTGACATTCACTCAGTATGTGAAATAGTATTAAGTTTTTTTTAATTTAATTTTTTTATCATTTTTTGAAAGCATAGAAAATAAGCTTTAAGAATATATCACACTTTCTTTTTTAAGTCATATTTGTCTTCAAAACGTAAAATTTATTCAATATAGACTTTTTAGATAGTTTAAAAGAAGAGTAAATTTCCAAAAAGATGACATAAAGTATATATATATACCTTTATGTTATCATAAAATAGATACGGATATCTAATTTCGCGAAGTCGTGTTTTAGTTGTAACGCGCCCGCGGTCAAATTGACCGATGTATTATTTGACCGGTGTATTAAGTGAAGGGGATTAGAGTTGTCCTCATTTCAAAATGGCTGTCGAATGTGTGATAAAAAATGCAACGAAAACAATTGGAGAAGGCCCCCATTGGGATGACATGACAAGTACACTTCTCTATGTGGATATACATGAAAACAGTATCCATAGATTTAATCCAGAGACAAATGTTGCTGATAAAATAAAACTGGGTAAGTAATAAAGTGTGCCACAAGTGTTAAAGAGAAACTAATTTCTACTTAAAATGACTGTCATTAAATCCAATTGCTATTGGTGCCTATGGCCATTTTTCTTCCTGTGCAATACTGTGCAATACTGTATTATAACATTGTAATGGTTTTTCCATCGTATTACAAGTAGACGGCTATGAAAAAAAACTATTATAAATAATTTAGATACATTCTATAGTCACAGTAGAATAAAAATTTTGCCAAACACAGGGTTTAAATTGGACTAGGTTGGGTTTTGTTTTTGTTGTAAATTTCTGTTATACTATTACATGTATACACACTTGAAGGAAATTTCGTAGTTACAAGTATATTTATACATTGTACATATACATCAAGTTTGTAGCTATTGTCTATGACTGAACTGTTGAAGCCTACCAGAAAACATTGATAACAGAAAACTGAAAAAAAAAAACTTATATTAAATTTGGACGTTCTCTTTCTATTTTTGGTCTAATGTCATATTAATATAAATGTCTTAATGCGTTTTGTTTTTGTTGTAAATTTCTGTTATACTATTACATGTATACACACTTGAAGGAAATTCATATACATCAAGTTTGTAGCTATTGTCTATGACTGAACTGTTGAAGCCTACCAGAAAACATTGATTTTATATTAAATTTGGACGTTCTCTTTCTATTTTTGGTCTAATGTCATATTAATATAAATGTCTTAATCCCCTGTGAATAGGTGGATATAACTGTGTCAATTTGAAAATTCCCGGTCTATTTTTAGTCTAATGTAGAAAAATGTAGGAAAAAATAGAAATGCTTATATTCATCTAGAACGTCTCATTTAAGTGAACATAACTATATATGATTACTAGAATGATCAGAGACGAATCAGAGTAATATAGAAAATTCCATTCACTAAATTGTTTTGTAGAGGACACTGTAGGATTTGTGGTACCCGCCAGGAAAGGTGGCCTGATAGCTGGCGTTGGTTGTTGTCTGGTACATGTAGACTGGGACACAAAGAGAGTAACCAAATTACACGAGGTGGATAAAAAGACACGCTTTAATGACGGAAAATGTGACCCGAGAGGAAGAGTCTGGACTGGTTTGCATTTGTTTCCTCTGACATTCTTCTGACTTAAACGGTACTACTCTCAGAAAGTAGCTATATATTACCAAGTTTTATCTTTCCAATACATTTTGCTTGTAGGAACATATGGACCAATTTATCCTGACGTCGAGAATATGCCTAAAATTGGTAGCCTGTATTGTCTTGACCTAGACGGCAGTCTGCGCACAATGGTGAAAGATGTTGGTATCTCTAACGGTCTTGCTTGGACCAGTGACGAAAAAACAATGTACTACATAGACTCGACACCACGAAAAATATATGGCTATGATTATGACGTAACTACAGGAAAGATTTGTAAGCTTTCATACCCAGGAAGCTAATAATAATATTAATCAGTTCTCCTATCCAAATGACGGTTATTGTTGCAAAATTTGTATTTCAACAATTAAAGTGAATGTGTATTTTAAAGTCTTATTAACAAAATTGTAATTAGGAAAATAGCTGAAGTCATTAATAGTAGGGGGCTTGTCGCTTTACATGCTTGTAAATCTGCGATTTCTTATTGTAGCTAATCAGAAAGTGATTGTAGACAACGCTGGAAAACCATTACCAGACTTCGGTTTTCCTGACGGAATGACCATTGATACTGAGGGTAAACTATGGGTAGCATGCTTCTTAGCCAGTAAAGTTGTTCGATATGACCCACAGACAGGTAATGTTCTTTGTACGATATTAAATGAATTCACTTTTTAAATTGTTCTGCAATATTTATATTTAACAAGAGGCCCAGGGGCCACAGCGCTCACCTGAGCACACCGGCTAGGAAAAAGCAAATATCAGATCAGAAATGAAAGTTTACTGAGTTTGGAGGGGGGGGCTTAAACCTTAACCCCCTAGGGGGTCATGATTTGAACAAACTTGAATCTACACTACGTGAGGATGACTCTACAAGAGTTTCATCTTTCCTGGCCCAGTGGTTCTTGAGAAGAAGATTGTTAAATATTTTCCCGATATATTCCTATGTAAAACTTTGATCGGCCATTTTGGCCCCACCCTACCCCTGCGGTTCCTGATTTAAAAAAATTGAATCTATACTACCTGAGGATGATTTCACATGAGTTTTATCTTTCCTGTCTCAATGGTTCTTGAGATGAAGATTTTTAAAGATTTTTCCTATATATTCCTATGTAAAAATTTGATCGGCCAATTTGGCCCATCCTACCCCGGGGGTCATGATTTGAACAAACTTGAATCTACACTACCTGAGGATGATTCCACATGAGTTTCATTTTTCCTGGCCCAGTGGTTCTTGAGAAGAAGATTTTTAAAGAATTTTCCTATATATTCCTATGTAAAACTTTGATCGGCCATTTTGGCCCCACCCTAGCCCCGGGGGTCATGATTTGAACAAATGTGAATCTACACTACCTGAGGATGATTCCACATGAGTTTCATCTTTCCTGGCCCAGTGGTTCTTGAGAAGAAGATTTTTAAAGATTTTTCCTATATATTCCTATGTAAAACTTTGATCGGCCATTTTGGCCCCACCCAAGCCACGGGGTTCATGATTTGAACAAATGTGAATCTACACTACCTGAGGATGATTCTACATGAGTTTCATCTTTCCTGGCCCAGTGGTTCTTGACAAGAAGATTTTTTTAAAATGCCATTAATTTTTCTCTAATTCATAATTATCTACCCTTGGAAAAGGGCATGGCCCTTCATTTGAACAAACTTGAATCCCCTTTACCCAAGGATACTTTTTGCCAAGTTTGGTTGAAATTGGCCCAGTGGTTCTTGAGAAGAAGATGTAAATGCGAAAAGTTTACAACGACAACGACTACGACAACGACAACGACAACAACGACAGACAACGGACAAATTTTGATCAGAAAAACTCACTTGAGCCTTCGGCTCAGGTGAGCTAAAAATTAATATTTTCTAAAGGTTATGAATAATTTAGTGAATAAATCAGTGTAAGTGTGTGTAAACGTGAGTAAATTGTACATGCGATGACATATTGGATTATATATTAGTACTGTATATGTAGTTAACTTCTTTAAGGTCAACAACTGCAGACTGTCAACTTTCCTGCTCACAGAATAACTTCATGTTGTTTTGGCGGGAGGAATTTGGATGAACTTTACGTCACATGTTCCGCTCATGAGGTCTCCGAGGAAGAGTTTCAGAAATACCCATTAACGGGTTCTGTTTTCAGAGTTAAAGGCCTTGGTGTGAAAGGTTTTAAGGCACAGATCTATCAAGGAGAAATCATAGAGGGTTAAAAGGAGAAAAGAGTAAAAGAAAGACTTTTCATAAAGAATTGAATAAAGGGATATACTTTTTTGCATTCATTGAATGTTTATTAATAAGTATTTCTAACTGATTATGAGATTTTACTACTGGACTTATTTCGGATCTCCTAGAGCAAAACATGGACTTTGCTGTTATAATCATATTGAAGGCGGGCGTATTTCATTTAGCGAGCTCAGAATTCGCAGAACCTCTAAATGTAGTTATACCAGTTATTCTTTTCAAAGCAACAGGACCAATTTAATTCACATGTCTTTTCGGTTATCGATCTAATAGTTACTTTGAAGTTAGAATCATACCTATAATGTCATTTTCATGATCTCCGTAAGCAACAAAATGCTAAATCAGATTTTTCAGCTTTCTGCATAAAAAGGACACGATAGACTATGACCCGTTTTGTACCCTTATTTTGAGTGTCTTTCAGAATGATACAACAGTTTATCCATAAAACCTGTTGTCACCCCTGCCACAAAATGACCTTTGGTTCTAAGTTTTGAAATCCTCAGAGGTGACAGCTAGAGAGGGCAGAAAATATTGTGAAATCACATTTTTTCATGTGGTCAAATTTTCGAACTTTGAAAAAAAAATCTGGTTTGTGAGGATTTGATCTCTTAGTTGGGAAATGTTTAGTAGTAAAGCAAATATTTTTTTTCCATTTTGTGGTGGTCATAATTAAGAGGGTCTATCCACACCTCGAAAATAAAACCCCCAGGAAAATTAGTGATTTTACAGTACAAGGTAGGTCAATTTTAGAATTTTCTCATTTTAATGTTAATTTTCATCGGTTTTACAGCAAATTTTGTTTCGGAATACAAAGCACAAGCTTGCCTATCTATCAAATTTATATATTTTATAAACTAGTATCAGATGCAGTTTATTTGTAAAAATCTCACATAGGCAAGCTTTTACTCTGTTTTCCGATGAGAAAAATATCTCAAATATGATGAAATCCACCAGGATTGAGACATTTCGGGACCCTTCTGCACCCTCTAGTAGCTTCCATGTAAGCTTTGATTCCAAATTAGGGCTGCAAGCATCATTTTACTTAGTTCTTATCTTCAAACTATCAAAATTTACCAGAGTTCTGAATTTTACATCAAATAAGGGGCCAGATTTGTCCTCTATCTTGCTTTTGAATCTGATTCTAATCTTACAATACAATACAGTAATTTGCTATCTCTGTGTAATTTATTATACACGTCTTGCATGCTATATACTTAGATGATACCAGAATCCACGTAATTCTTAACGATTCTCGTGTATTTCAGTAGTTTGAGAAAAAAGTACCTTGTTTTTCCTTTTATCTCGTATAGTCTTTTTTGGATGACAGTTACATAACAAACAGTATTATTATCGATATTATCTGTACAGAGGGATAATCTTCACTCAGATAAAGCAAAGAGCAAACATTTGCTCTGTGCGTGAATCGGTAATAAGGAGTTGTTCCTATTTCAAAATGGCTGTCGAATGTGTGATAAAAAATGCAACAAAAACAGTTGGAGAAGGTCCCCATTGGGATGACATGACAAATACACTTCTCTATGTGGACATTCAGGAAAACACTATCCATAGATTTAACCCAGAGACGAGCGTTGGTGATAAAATAATACTAGGTTAGTAATAAATATGTCATTAGTGTTTAAAGAATCTACTTTTCTACCTGAAATGATCCTCTTCAAACATTGCTTAAATTCAGTATTTCTGTTGGTGTCCATCACCATTCTTCTTTCTCTGTAATTCTGCATTGTAAAAATAAAGTGATTTTTGCCTCGTACAATAGCAAAATATTCATTACATAGTAGAATGCAATTGCAGGATATTCATTATATAGTATACAAAATACATGTTGTAGATTTTGACAAGGTTACGTTTTGATTTGATTGTGGAACACTGAAACTGATTTTTTGTAATTACTCTCCAGCCATCCCAGAAGTACATTTCTCCTAGCCCGAAGAGCTCATTCAACGTATTGGCTGAAAAAGACAACAATAATTGTTTTATTATATGAAAATATAAAAAAAAACTTCAACAAATTATCCATATTCATATAATAATGTGTTTTGTAGAGGACACAATTGGATTTGTGGTACCCGCTAAAAAGGGTGGATTGATAGCTGGCGTCGGTCGTTGTCTAGTTCATGTTGACTGGGATACGAAGAAGGTTACCAAACTACACGAGGTGGAGAAGAGTCTAAAGACACGATTTAATGATGGAAAATGTGATCCGAGAGGAAGAGTCTGGGCAGGCAATCATTCATATTCAATATTTTATGTTCTCCTGACTTTTTACAGTGCAATGGGTACTACTCTCAGAAAGTAAATGTACATAAATTTCACAAGTTTCATTTGGTCTGTATATTTTGCTTGCAGGAACAATGGGACCAGTTGATCCTGACGTCGAGAATATGCCTAAAATTGGTAGTCTGTATTGTCTTGATCTGGACGGCAGTCTGCACACAATGGTGAAAGATGTTGGTATCTCTAATGGGCTTGCTTGGACCAGTGACGAAAAAACAATGTACTACATCGACTCGACACCACGAAAAATATATCGCTATGATTATGACGTAACTACAGGAAAGATCTGTAAGATTTTATACTCAGGAAGCCAATATTGATATTAACCGGTTCTTCCATTGAAGCAATAATTATGTGTTGCAAAATTTGCATTTTGTCAATTGGAGTGTTATTAGAGAAATAAAATCTGAAATCAATAATAGTTAATGTATTAGTAAAAGGTGACATCTAGCTTTGTATACATATAAATCTGTAATTTCTTTGTTGTAGCTAATCAGAAAGTAGTTGTAGACAACGCTGGAAAACCATTATCAGACTTCGGTTTTCCTGACGGAATGACCATTGATACGGAGGGTAAACTATGGGTCGCATGCTTCTTTGCCAGTAAAGTTGTTCGATATGATCCAGAGACAGGTAATATCCTTAAGTTTGTAAGATTTTGATATTTTAAAAAATCAATATTCACTATTTTAATTGTTCTGCCATACGCATTCAGTACTTCTTAATATTCACAAAAGATGTCGCATTGCTCATACTATTGAATGGCAATATACAAGAATTACTAGACTATTTATATTGAAGGATTAATCTTTTCCTAAGCCTGTGTGTATACTTAAGTGAATTGTATATATGATGTACATTTACGAGTATATAGTACTTTATAATTATGTACATACATGAACATGAATGGATTTTACTTTAACTTCCCTAGGTCAAAAACTGCAGGCTGTCAACATCCCTGCTCTAAGAATAACGTCATGTTGTTTTGGCGGGAAGAATTTGGATGAACTTTACGTCACATGTTCCGCTCACGAGGTCTCTAAAGAAGAGTTTCAAAAATATCCTATGACCGGTTCTGTTTTCAGAGTTAAAGGTCTTGGCGTGAACGGTATTAAGGCTCAAATCTATGAAGGAGAAATCAAAGAGGGTTAAAAAGATGTTTTATGCAGAATTTGATAAAGAAATATTCATGTATGCATTCATTCAATGTTCAAGTTTTTCTGATTATGAGACTTTAATAAATCAAATCCAATCTGCGAAGTAGACTTTTTTTTCTTAAGACCCCCCCCCCTCCCCCCGAAAAACTGTCTTTAGTGTAGAACCCCTACAGAAAATAGACCATAACGTTGAATTTTTCCCAAATTGAATTTGAGTGGAATTTTGAGCTTGATTACAGTTTGTTACTCCATATTTCATGCACAATGTTTTAAGAAGTTGTATATTTTGATGGACAATCTTTTAAAAATTGTTTGGTTGCCATCTACCGACCGATTGGATAATAAATGGTCCGGCCCAAATATTTTTTTACCACCAAGATGCTACTTTTATGATTTTTAAAATATTTTTTTTTAATTTGCATTGAAATTATTTGAGGGAAAAATTTTGCACCTTCCTGCCGCGCCCATTCTTTTTTATTCGGAAACGGGAGAGGGCAAACAAACTTTATTTTAAAGTTGGCCTTGAAAGGGTTTTTTTTATAAAGGAATCCAGTATTAGTTGTATGCCTGTAGGCAGGGTAGCCATAGTCAATTTGATTGTTTGGAATATTAAAAAAAAAATTAAACCGACATATGATTGATAATAATGGTTGTGAAGAATTTTCCCTTTCGAGTTAAATTAGTATGTTTATTTTGTATCAAATTGCTGTAAGTCTGAGGTAAACAGAAATACTAGAGAGCAAATATTTACACAACAGGACATTGATAAGTCCATGAAGATTATATAACAAATTTAAACAGTCTGGCCGCTGTTGAATTTGCGATAAAGAATGCTCAAAGTTAAAAAAAATCCCGTTGAGATAATATTTACATATGATTGTATAATCCGACTACATGCTCAGATAAATAAAATTTTTGAAAATCTGTCTGTACAATCCCTTAATAAATTTGTGCTATAAAAATATCAAGACTATGCACTTTTTGGTCACACATGTTAATCACTTTTGAAATACCTCACATATTACTTGTACATATTGGATACAAATTTTTCTCAACATCAAAATATGTAAAGATAAGCTGCTCGTGCATTCAAAACTTCTAGGCTCTGGACTGCAATCATTCATTGTGTAAAAAAATATCAGTTTGTGAAAATTATCTTGCAAGATACTTGCTTTTTCACATCTTTTGAAGAAATTGTATGAGATATGCGTTTGTTCTACTAGAAATAAGCTCAGATTTCTATTCTTAAAGCTTGCATTTTTGGTAAATTTTAACAATGGGTATTACCAGGTAACTGCATATCTTTAGTACGTTCATAGTACACCACCACAGCTGGACTATTCTACTGTAAATAAGGCCAAGATGATTAAAGCGCAAAGAGATAAAATTTAGGTTACACCGATAAAGCCACGGGGGAGTAAATAAATCTCCGAAGTGTGAATTTTGGAGGGTCTTTCACACAGTGTTCGACAGAATGAATGTTGAATGTGTTTTAAAAGCTACTACTACAGTTGGAGAAGGACCACACTGGGATGACGTCACCAATACACTTCTGTTTGTAGACATATATGGCAATAGTATCCACAGATACAATCCAGAAACAAGGGTAGATGATAAATTTGAACTTGGTAAGCAAATTACGGTCAAGAAATTGTTTGTTTACGATATACAAAATTCATCAAGGGAAGAGAAGTATTCAATAAGTGCAGCAATCCAAACGCTTTCAACAATTCAATTTGAAAACAAATGTTTTCATTTCCATATAACTCGAAGATTGTCATTTCAGATGGTCCAGTTGGATTTGTTGTTCCCGCCAAAAATGGTGGACTGATAGCAGGAGTGGGTCGTTGTTTGGTACATGTGGACTGGGACACAAAGAAGGTGACCAAACTTCATGAGGTGGAACAAGGTTTAGATACACGATTCAACGATGGCAAATGTGATCCTAAAGGTCGGATAATTGCTGGTGAGTTGGTTAGTTCAATAGGGTAATGTCTGGCTGTGTAGAAAGGATTTTTACAGTTAAGAGTTTACATTATTTTTCAAGGAACGATGGGTCCAATGGTGCCTGATGTCATCAATATGCCTAGGATTGGCAACCTTTATTGTTTGGATTTGGATGGTAGTCTCCGCACGTTGGTGAAAGGCGTTGGAATTTCCAATGGCCTAGCGTGGACAGAGGATACAAAGACGATGTATTACATTGACTCCACGCCTCGACAGATCTACAGCTTCGACTACAATGCTGCATCTGGAGAACTTTGTAAGATTATTGATAGTTCTGTATGCCTGTTTTCTTGATTCTCGAAGTAACTTAATGATTCTCAAACAAATGAATCGATAAAATTATTCCGAATTATTTTGAAAGATTTCTTTGTGAAACATGGAACACGACAATTCCATGATACCAAATTCTGAATGAACTGGACAATATGTTTTCTGTTCACTTCAGCAAATCAGAAAGTAATTGTGGATACTACTGGGAGGCCCCTTGAAGAGATCGGTGTTCCTGATGGTATGACCATTGATACAGAGGGTAAACTATGGGTAGCGTGCTTCTTTGCTGGAAAAGTTGTTCGATATGATCCAAAGACAGGTATTTCATTAAAAAAAATTGTAAACAGATATATGTCGACAAGATATAAGATACATGTAAATGCAAAACTTTTTTTTCTTCATTTTCGGGAACCTGGATATAAATTAGCTTTCCCAAGTTGTCATTAAAACCAGAAGTCTCTGTCGAGACTGAAGCTCTACTGGTTTGAACTTATAGCAAAGGAAGAGAAAAGTATAATTTTGAGCTGGGATTTGAAACTTTAAAAGCAATAAATAGAATTTGATCGTTGACAAAGTCTCTTTATGTTCTAAGTGTTAACTTGTGTGCCAAGTTATATTGAAATCAGACTTGCTGTAGGAGGAGTAGCATTTTGAAACAATTTTACAGACATTTCTATTTTTAGTAACCACGGCAACACAGTTCATCAAAATTTAAAATTTGATACATAGAATTATGTATCTTAGTGTATTCTTCTTGTGTGCCAAGTTATACTGAAATTAGACCAAAACTGTAGGAGGAGTAGCATTTTGAAACAATTTTACAGAAATTTCTATTTTTAGGGAGCACGGCAACATCCTTCCAAATCAAAAACCGATAAACAGATTTATGTATCTTAGTGTAGTCTACTTGTGTGCCATGTTATACTGAAATCAGACCAAAACTGTAGGAGGAGTAGCATTTTGAAAGAATTTCACAGAAATTTCTATTTTTAGTAACCACGGCAACACCGTTCTTTTTCGAAATCAAAAACCGATATACAGAATTATGTATCTTAGTGTATTTTTTTGTGTGCCAAGTTATACTGAAATCAGAACAAAACTGTAGGAGGAGTAGCATTTTGAAAGAATTTCACAGAATATTTCTATTTTTATAACCACGGCAACACTTCATTTGTTGGGTCAAAAACCGATACACAGAATTATGTATCTTATTGTATTCTACTTGTGTGCCAAGTTATATTGAAATTAGACCAAAACTGTAGGAGGAGTAGCATTTTGAAAAATTGTTTACAGACAGACGGAATTTGCATGATTTTTTTTATTTCATTTCTATGACAACTCTTAACACCTTACAAAAGCTCATTTCTCTGACCAGTAGAGAAAACAACAAAAAATTAAAATGCATAATCATAGTCAACTGCCGGATTTAATGATACTGTTATAATTTTGATATGCTTTGAAAAAAAAAATATCTTTTTCAAAGCTATAAAATTTACTGTTAACATTCCTTCTGCATTGAGAATTACATCTTGCTGTTTTGGCGGGATTCATTTAGATGAACTCTATGTCACATGTTCAGTGTATGATGCACCAAAAGAAGAACTACAGAAATACCCATTATCAGGCTCAGTTTTTCGGGTCACTGGACTGGGGTTTACAGGTTTTAAAGCAAATGTATACGAAGGAAAAATAAAATTGTAGACACAAAAAGAAATATGCTGAAAAACTGTTACTAAATCTGTAAGTATCATGAATATCCCTCCAAATAACAAATATTTTTGCTCCTACATTTCATTTGTATTGAAGGGCTACATTGTGCAGTAGTCATTTTGTCTGATCAAAAATACAATCTACTTTTGAAAATCACTTGATCCCGCTATAATCATGGTTTGCGATCAAGTCAGGGATTTCTTTTTCTTTAATAGCGAAGGGTATCTGTACTGTTTGTACAGGACACACACACATATTCACATTTTTTTTTATATAGACAAATCAATGCAATAGTCTCCAAGAAACGTCAATCATGTCTATAGTTGGATTTAAGGATTCCAATATATAATCTACATGTATACACTCCTCCCCTAAATTTCATTTTGTGGGGTATATATGTAGGACTCTAAAGTGTGATGGGACTCCAAAGTCCGATGGTCACGCCAAAGTCCGATGGTCTGCGCCAATCCCCGATGGTCTGACACGCCAAAGTCTGATGGTGCGGAAAACAATTAACGTTTACGACGTCATAGTACTACTGCGCCAAACATCAATGCCGCGCCAGGCCAAGGTTTTAAATAAATGTCATTATGCGAAAACTAACCCTAATCTCTCAGGTAGGCGCGAAACTAACCCTAATCGTTCTAAAAGTGTGTAACGACTATAAACTAGATATCTTAGGTGGATGCAAGACTAACCCTAATCACTCGACTAGTGTGCAAGGACTAACCCTAAATCTCTCAGGTTAGTTCGAAGCAAGGACTAACCCTAATTAGTCGAGTGGTATGTGAGAACTAACCTTAATATCTCTAAAAGGTGCAAGCAATAAGCAAAATCAGTAAAATTGTATGCGAGGACGAATTCAGAAAATTTGGCTTTTGAATGGGAGGACAACAGCGTCAGTGATTGACGTCGAATTATTGTGAAGTCATAAATGTTGTTTCTCCGCACCATCAGACCTTGGTGTGTCATTTATATATTCACTTTACAACGTGTATAAAACTTTAGATCCGACTTTGGCGTGATCGGACTTTGGCTTCTGTAACAACAAACCATCGGGATTTGGCAGAAACCAAAGGGATTTTCAGACCATCGGACTTTGCAAATTCACATATATATATATATATATATATATATATATATATATATATATATATATATATATTGAGTGCTCAAAGACTCCAAAATCTTCAAAAAAAAATCTGAATTTGCATGATTTTTTTTATTTCATTTCTATGACAACTCTTAACACCTTACAATTCATTTACATTTGGAAGATGGAAAACAACAAAAAATTAAAATGAAACAAATCATGAAAATAAACCAAAATATTTACTTTTACATATGTATATGAAATTGCTAATTGCAAAAAAAAATTCTTTTGACAAATATATGAAACCAGAAGTCTCTGTCGAGACTGAAGCTCTACTGGTTTGTACTTATAGCAAAGGAAGAGAAAAGTACTTATTTTTGGAAATTGAAACTTTTCAACAGCAATAAATAGAATAATGATCCTTTATTAAGTCTCTTTTGTTCTTAGTGCATTTTTCTTGCATTCCACATTTATATTATAATCATACTAAAATTGTATTTGGAGTAGCATTTTGAAAGAATTTCACAGAAATTTCTATTTTTAGTAACCACCGCAACACCGTTCATCGAAATCAAAAACGGATACACAGAATTTTTCTTTGTAGTCTACTTGTGTGCCAAGTTATACTGAAATAGACTAAAACTGTAGAAGGAGTAGCATTTTTAAAAGCTATTTTTGAAGAATTTCACAGAAATTTCTATTTTTAGTAACCACCGCAACACCGTTCATCGTAAATCAAAAACCGAAAAAATATGTATCTTATTGTAATTTACTTGTGTGCCAAGGGTTATATTGAAATCAGACTAAAACTGTAGGAGGAGTAGCATTTTGCAAGCAACAAGAACATAGAAATATATATTTTTTTAATAATGACCACAACACCGTTCATCCAAATAAAAACCAATACACAGAATTGTGTACAGTTTTTTGTGTGCCAAGTTATATTGAAATCAATAAAACTGTGCAGGAGTAGCATTTTGTCATGAATTTCACAGAAATTTCTATTATTAAAAAAAACATTATACAAATCAAAAACCTATATAAATTTATATCAAATTAGCCTATTGTGTGCCAATTATATTGAAATCAGCACCACTGTAGGAGGAGTAGCATTTTGAAATAATTTCACAGAAATTTCAATTTTTAAAAACACGGCAACACCGTTCAAGAAAATCAAAAACCTTTACAAGGTGATTTGCGTAATTTTTCCTTGTGTGCCAAGTTATATTGTTTAAATCATCTAAAACTGTAGGAGGAGTAGCATTTTGAAAGAATTTCACAGATAATCATCATTTCTATTTTTACAACCACGGCAACACCGTTCATCGAAATCAAAAACGGATACACAGAATTATGTATCTTAGTGTAGTCTACTTGTGTGCCAAGTTATATTGAAATCAGACCTAAACTGTAGGAGGAAAAAAATTTTCAAAAATTGTTTAAAAACTTGACTACACAAAATTGATTTTAGAAATACAGACGGATCATACGACAAATGCTATTTAAACTGACCAGCAGTTCTTCTGGTCTAATTCCCAAAGGACAAAGAATGTACTTTCATAATCCATATATGTGCTATACTTTTTAACAGAAATGCTTTGAAAAAGTACAATGTCTTCATGATAAGGCCATTAAATAAATAGTGTGTTTCCTATGCCATTCCAACCTGATTGCTATCAAGGGATGAATGAAAACATTTATTTTAACATTTTATTGGCAAGCGGGCTGCCATTCTCTCTGAGGGAATTTGCAGTCACGACATTTCTTATTAATGTTTATAGGACGTGCATTTTCTCAGACAGAAGTCAGCAAGATTAGGATTTCTAATAGTGAAACCAAAATTGTTTACTTCTGGAAAGATATTGGCAGATCAATTTTTCAGGGTTTGTTCATATATTTAAGGTGTGGTCAGAGAATCGAAAACTCACAATTTATTTGTATAGGCCTAATACTTGAACATTGTGTGAAAATAAGGTGTGAAGTATAATTCCTGCAATATTCACCTTGTGTAGATACTTCTCTCTTAAAAATACCTCATCCCATTACACAAACAAACCGATAACACGAAAAGAAAAGCTAAATGATGATCCAAGACAATCAAAAAGCACAAAAAAAGAAGGAAAACATTATGAAAATTTTTAACATCAAACAAAAAATGTATAACAGATGTGAGACACTATAAGAAATAAACAAGGCAATAAACGAATGTACATACAGTGAAATGGGTTCTTGACAGTCTGCATGTTGCACAGAAATGTGACAACCATTTAAAACATGGTTTTAGTGGACTCAACAGTAATGATCATTATATGTGGTTTAAGTTTCATTTGTCGTCAAGTGTCTTGTACTACGACTTTTTCATGCTTGGCTTTAGTTCATCGAAACAGGACCTTAGGAAAATGTGTGGCTTTTTGTTTGGGTCAAATCCTTCATGCCCCTTTAAAGGAAAAAAATTGATGATTTAATAATTAAATATAACTCTCAGTCAACATCATTGATTTCGCCATCACCATCGTCCACACACTGAAAAACTATCAAATTAGAACTAATCGATTATCTGTTGGACCAATAAATAACACCTCTATCTCTATGTTGATAGTAATTTTTCTTCTTTCATTTCTCACTAACATAAATAATAGTAAATTTGCTTTTCTCATGACAAGTTACATATTCTGAACATTACTGTCAATTACCTAACCTTGAGTCTGAGGTCTATTTATATATTCCTTACAATTATAACCTTTAGAATCATATTTTAGCCGGTATCCTTTTTTTTAACATAAATAATAGTAAATTTGCTTTTCTCATGACAAGTTACATATTCTGAACATTACAATACTTATAAATCCAATAAATGACAAGACTGTCAATTACCTTACCTTGAGTCCGAGGTCTATTTACATATTCCTTACAATTATAACCTTTAGAATCATATTTTAGCCGGTATCCTTTTTTTTTAACCAAAAATATGAAAAATTTCTCTGTTTTTGTTAACTTACCTTTGACCAATCATAGCTGGTGGCATAGCAGAACACATTTCCTTGCGGGTTGAAACAGCAAGCTGTCAGCGGCTGATCAAACTGATCTGAGGTCTTTAGTTTGGTTCGAGCGTCCTTGTCCCAGAAACTGAACTTGCAGTCTGATCCAACAGTGGCCAAGGTACCATGAACAGGATGGAATGCAATGTCATTCACCTGTCATTTGAATTAAATAGATATAGGTAATGCTTTTTATAGGATGCCCCAAAAAAAAAAAGTTCATTACCATTTGTACAAAATCCTGACCCTTCATTCCTTTTGATCATCATTTTCTTTTTTAAAAAAACTTCAAATTCTAAAAAGGTAGAAATGTTTTATTTTACAACTCAAGAGTTTCCAAGGAATGTATGTTTACCTGTTTTAGCAAAGTGATGTTTCATTCCTAACAGGATGCATTAACATTTTAGTTCGTGTGGTTAATGTAATCAAAGCTTTATAAAATTAAAGATATGGTTCTCAAGCCCATCTGCATTCGATTTGACATGTTTGAGGTAGCCGCATTTCAAATTTTATCGTATTTTGGATAAAATAAGAAGTTGGTAATGTAGAGGCCAGTCCGAAAAAAAAGTTCCATCCTCATTTTCTTTTAGTTAAGTACTTGGATATCACTTCTGGTAACCATTTATCAATATTTACATTCGCTGTGTTTTTCTAGTAGGCCACCTATGAAATTGATTCAAAAACCATTTTCGTGTACACTCACGCGTAGAAATGTACACGGAAAAACCTGCGTTAATGTGACGTCACAATGAGGCTGCAGCGACTTTAGTAAAAATGCAACGATATAGGGCAGCCAGAAATTCAAATATTAAGAATATTTTAGTTGCTTCCAAACATGTAATTGATGTAAAATGTAAATATAAGGAATGTTTTTCAGTTTAGTGTGAATTATTGGTGTGTGAATCACACAGACTTGCACAAAGGCATATTTTTCATGAAGCGCTAGCGCACTTCATGAAATATGCCTACGTGACAAGTCTGTGTGATCAATAACTCACACAAAACTTGAAAACATTCCTTAATTATTTTCCACAAAACAAATTTTGTTTAAAATATCTTTGAAGTGTGAAAGACACAGGGCAAAGTGATCCCTGAAGTGTTGCTCTGCAGGCAAATTACAGCCCATAGTCAATTTCACCCATCACATCCCAATATAAAACACAACTTAAACAAATAAAATTCGAAAAGTTGTTCTCGGAAAACCTTTTTAGAATTTCTTTGAGACAATTTAAAAACTGACTCACTCCCACACCTTTCATTTCTGCTAAAGAGGCCATGATATGAGCTACTTTGGGAGATGAATACATACTGCGTATATGTCTTGCATGCCATTGGTGGTGCCGTTTGACCTATGACATTTGAAGGTGAAGTTGTCTTTAGGGTTGGTTGGATTGACATAATGTATGGCTACTCTGCCTTCAATGCTTCCAAGGGCAAAACCAGTAGGAGCACCATTGTTCTTCTTGTCCAGAAATATGCTGACACATCGATGCTGGAAGACAAAGGATGATTGATTGCCAAAAAAAATTTTATCATATATTTTATCTATACTTAAACTGTTCTGTTTGTCTCAGTTCATCAAAACATGGACAGTGTAAAAGAAAGATATACTATACAAGACATTTTCCGCAAATACACGTATGTGCGTTGTTTCAGATATGAAATTCAGTTCAGGAAGACAATAATCCTTCAAAATGACCTTCACCTGAAACTTGAGTGGTGATTCAATGCGTGTGAACTCTTGCGGGCGGTTCTCCAGCTGGTATATAATCAATTCTCTTCCAGCAGTTCCAACAACAGCCATAGGATATTTCTGATCAAAAACAAAACAAGAGCTGAATAGATGTAATGCCCATGAGAATATCGTAAAGCAGACTTACTTCATATAACCATGTATGCTAACTTTTTCTCTTTTTACCTCAACAATTTCTATACAAATATTTGCATGCATACATATACTAGGCCACAATTAAAATATTGTTGGTTTGGCATTGCCGACTCAGCCTTAATACATTTGGGTCGGTAGGTAGGGAAAATATTTTTTTTTTCAATTTCAGAAATGTTTTTAGTTTTCGGGCGTCATGGGTTTCCGATTGTTTAACAACAACAACAGTTTGAATTAATTTCAAGTTGTTATTCATTTTCAAACCAATATTAGTTTAAAACCTTTAACATAAATGGTATAAAAAATCACCGATATTGAATAGGCATAAAGTTGTTTTCACAAGCACGAATTCTAGCATGGCCGCTAGATTCATCTAGCAAATCGGACAGGACATTGTACCTTGAAATTTCTAATTCAAACTGGTATTACTGACTCGTCAGTATATTTTTGACACTAAACACGTTAACGCGGAGAGTCATGCTATCAACTTCTGTTATATTTAGTTTAACCGTTTTCGACGGCCATGCTTGGATTTGTGATACACATATTCAACATCACACAGACGCTTTTAAATGAAAACTGTTCGATCAATCAAGCATTTACATGATTCTTTCACATTTTGTATATTATTCAAACGTACAGACACCTAAATACGGATAAATAGAACGAAAAAAAATTATGATCTGTATCAGCTTAAAAAAATTCTTTGGACCGCACCGATTTACCTGAGTTGGACGGCAACGCCAAACAAAGCTAATTTTATTTTTGGCCTTAAGTCTGAACAATTTATATTCCCTTCAAACTTTGCTATAAGCGTGAAACAATTCTCCATATCTTTCTAATCCAGTCCATACTTACAACATCTGCACAGTAACAGCGCTCTGGAAGCTGAATTGTGTCGATGGGATTTGGTGTTCTTGTGTCCCAGAACTACAATCATTAATTCATAAATCCTGGTATACACATGTATATATTTCAATTTAAATAATAATATTCAGAACTTAAATACCCTCTACACGATCACATCTTTTTCTTAGTTTATAAAAGAATTCATTATGTTTATTTTTTTTTCCCTTCAGTTTCTCAGTTGAGAGCAGCAATTCACTAACCTTAAGGGTTTTGTCCCAGCTCCCTGTCATGACACAGGAGTAGTTAGGGGCCTTAATCCAGTGGACAGTTTTTACAGGGGCATCATGCTACATAATAGAATTTATATTCAAAGCAAAATTTCAAGCATATAGTAATATCATTCTATTTTGGGGGGCATCTGCTCATTTGAAAGTCAAACATTTCATTTTTATGTGTTAATTTATATTTACCACAATCTTGTACATTCTAATGACATATAGATTTCTATAATATTGTTGAGATCTGTGATGTATATATGAGGACATTTTACCTGTGCAATCTGGATGGCTTGATTACTCTGAAGATCCCACATTTTAGCAGTTTTGTCACAAGATGCTGTGAACACCTTTGTTCCATCCTAAAATGAAAAAGATTGACACATTTCAATAAATGCTCAGAGTTCAACAATCTTTGACACTATTAGAGAACATGGGCAGTTAAAAATGTAAATGAGTTAATGACTTATTGAAATTTGAAAGACAAATCTAAAATACTGTAACAATCACCAAAAAAAAAAACAGTAAAATAAAAAAAAGAACTACACCGTAAATGACTTTCTATTCTATTGATAATGGATGCTTTCAGTGTTTTCAATAAGATTTTCAATAGAAGGAAAAAGAGAAGGAATAGCAGGAAACCAGTGTCGGCGAGGGGTCTGGGGGCCGCCTTAGGCCCCCAGCGGGTCCAGGGCAGAGCCCTGGTAGGGGGCCCAGGGGGGCGAAGCCCCCGGCCGAAAACGAAAATCAGCATTTTTGACTCATTTTCTTACCTCTCAGACTATTAAAAAAGTACCATTTTTTCACATTCCTGTCACTATCAATTATCAAATTTTACCTTAAAAAGCCAATTAGAAACATTTTTTACCTTTTCACAGATTTGTTTGACAGATTTTTGACAGACTGAGTTTTTTTTCTTCTGAAAACTGTACGTGTCTATAAAAACATATAGAAAACTTAAGTATGAAATTATAGTACAGACAATTGTCTGTGGTAAAATATTATACTGAAAATTCTACATATTTGTCCCTTTCACATAAATTAGTCAGGTCTTTTATTCAAAATTCAAAAAAAAAGTTTTTTAGTTAAAAATGTAATTTTTTTAACACTTGGTGATGTACAGTACCCTCCAAAAATTGAAATATTCTGCAACCTTAGACGTTTCATAAAATAATTTTAAAACTTATTTACTTTGGCATTTTCATTATGTACAGATTGTCAGAACAAAATAATTAAGAAAATGGAATTTGATACAAAATACTAGTACATTAAAACCTTCCCAAATGTGAAAATGATACTGTTCCTGTATTTCAAGATATCTTTACACGAATAAATGAGAATAAAATTTTACATTTTCAGTTTGAGGAAATTCTTGTAAGAATTTCTACATGTACGTCTGAGATTTCGATCAAAATATTAAGACTTTTATTCGTAATTATTACGTCTTAGCTTAACACTTGAGATTTTCAGTTTGAGGAAATTCTGTAAGAATTCAACATTTTTCGTAAGGGCTTAAAATTATATTTATTTGCCGTTTTTTCACCGGGGAACCCCTCACTTAATATTAAGGCTGCCGCACAAATCAATTTTCAATCGAAAATTATAAAACACAAACAAATCTTTTTGGAAGGGACCATTCTTTATGCCTCTTAATGTATGTGATCTCAAACGCATGTGTTACAGCAGCAGCAGCAGCACGTTTCTCCACGACTTCGCTCAAATATTCGTTGTCCGCGCCGCCATTGCATAACACGATCGATCTAATCAAACTTCCTTGAAAAAAGAGCGCACTCAAGGGAAGCTACTGTAAATCATGGAAATAGTTGCGATAAAATCTAATTTCACGTATCAGCCCCGGCAAAATCTTAATGACGGAAATTTCAAAAAATTTCTACAGGCGGTTAATTTTGACTTTCTATTCTATTGATGAAAACACTGGCTTTTACTAAAATTCTATCCTTTGAGTCTTCTTATTCATATTTAACTTCAATGGGGGGAGGGGGGGACTTACATCACTCCAGTCTACATCTAGGACTGGTCCAGTGTGGGTCTGCTGGGCTTTAGGAACTGTTTGTCCACTCTGCTGCACCTCCCAACATCTTACCTATAGAAAATAAACAAATCTACTAATAAAATGTAAAGATTCAATTTTTGGGCTTTTGATTTTATTCAAACTTGTATCTCTCTTTGTTTTTACATTTCTGTTTTCCGAGAAATCACTGTCAAAGAAGTTGTTTGTACATGTCATGTAATGCATTATTTAAAAGCTACATAGGGTAATAGCAAAAAGTAATCTACATATTTTAGGAAATGTGCATCTAGTAAATTAAAACAATGCAGGAAATCATGTCTGAGACGTTGTGATTAAAAATATTTCAGTCTTCAAAAAGTTTATGCTATAAATAGTTGAAAACTGAAAAGGAAAAATGTTTAACTTGCATTGTTATCCCAGCTTCCTGCTACCAGATAGGCTGACTGCATGTTTGTACCCGGACTGAACTTCACAGCACTGACACTGTCATCAGGTGGAGATTGTACCTGTTTTCATATATCATATAATTATTGCACAAGATTCTGACATTTGTCAGTAAAGCTTATAGCTACATGTACTTAGTATTTAACCAGGCAAAACTAATCCTATTATGCATTTACATGTTATTTTATCATTCAGCTACAATTTCATTAGCCAATTTATGTAGATTTGAAAGAGAATGCAAATTTCAAGTTGACATATTTCTTTTACCCCATAAATCCTGTCCCAAAAATAATTTCATCAGTTCATCTCAATCAGTATTGTTATTTTATTTGAAATTAAATCGAAGACCCCAAACTGTGCCATCTGACATACCTCTATGTCCTTCATGGCATTGTAATTGGTGCTGGCAGTAGAGCCAAAGGATGTGTTTCCTCCACCAAACATGTTTCTCTCAGACTCAGCTATCTACCTGAAATCTAAAATTTACTACACTGCTAGAACAACAACATTCAGTGATTTTCAACTAGATTTTCGCATCTCTAATTAAATTTTCAATTGGAAAAATTTACACAGAATTCTATAGTTACTGTTGACGGTTTTTATATTTCATATTAAAGGCCTATAATGGGTCCTTCTGATAGAAAATTTCATTGTTAAAACTAGTTATGTATTTAATTTTTTTATATGGATCGTTTTTTTATAGCAAGGGCAGCGAGCTCAATAGACTAACGTGTAAGGACAGAGGAAATTCAGAATTAAATCTGTACATACGTCATGCAAAATTTTGTGTGAAACTTTCCCAGTATTCCTTGGCTACCTAGGGATTCTATGCGCGCATAAATAAATAAATAATAATGTAAAGCATAAGGACTTTCAGTTTGTAGTAATCTTTAAAAGAAAAAAAAATAAATCTGCAATGTCTTTCAAAAAAATTGCACTAGGTCTATAGCTTCAACTAAACGCTCCGCTGTGTCCAAAAAACCCTGACGAGCTTTCATGTGACTTCACAGTCTAAATGTCTCGTGTGACTTGACGTAACGTTTGATGTAGCGGATCAATGTTTCAAATGCATTTTTGAAGGTACAACTGCGCTCACCCCAAAAGTCACATTGGTAAATTCATATAAGGATAGCTATAGCATTCAATGGCAAGCGGTTTGGTGAAAACTTAAAAAAATTGCAAAAAAAGTATTTTTATCATGTACGAAGGGTAATTCTGTTAAGAAGCCTTTTTCTGTTATGTAATTGCAGTAAAATCAACCATTGAACACAGTTTCATAATTTACCATGTATATATGGGGTGCAGCTTGAGCAATTCTGATATAATTATTTTATTTGCTCTTTAATATTCTTCTGAGAGCTTTCTTTACATAAATAAAAAAAAATATTCTACTATTATATTAAATTAATTTTTCCAGGGTTTGTTTGTCTTTAAAATTTTATCAAATTTAAGTAACTAAAATTCACTACTACTTAATTTAAAAAAAAAGGTTTTTTTTAAGAGTATAATTTTGTCATTCAAAAATGTTAAGCTTAATCAACATGATCAATACTTTGAAACTGCTGATAAAAATAAATTTCATCTTACTTCTTAAATGAATCTTTTGCAATTGTAAAAACTAGTATCACTTTTGTGCCTACAAAGAGTTTGAATGTTTTCATGCAAATGTGGTGTGTGACAATATGCCCAACCTTCGGATTACATTAGAACTATAACCAGGTATTGCGTTTTATCTCAAAGCTGCAATTTTTAGCTAAGGGGAATTCCATGTAAAATATTGTATCTATCATTCTATGTACTTGAACTATATGATATGAGCGCAATGATTCAAACTTTTACATGATCGATCAGTCTTTACCTAACCTCCTGAAATGTAAAGAACGGTTCACAAAATATAATGAAATTTCAGAAACAACTCAGGCTGTGATTCTCTTTCCCACCATTACAAAATTTACAATCATTGTCAGCTAAACGTTTGTAATTCTAATATCTGAACCTTGAACTGAAGATAGAAAACGAAAAAAATTGTTTGTCTATTGATTATACTCTTTATCATAAACTTTTTTGTTTTGGAGAAATGAAATAATAAACAAATAAAAGGAAAATTAAATTTGAAATCTTTCATATATTGCCAGTTTTACTGCGTATATTGATTTTTTTTAGCAGAACGAAAACGAGGCTTACGCCATATTGTTCTATGGTAAAAAAGGTGTTGACATTTCTTAGAGGAAGTGCGACAAATATTCTTCTTCTACAGAGTTCCACATTTAGCAGTTGAATCCTGCAAGGTAAGATAATTTGTTTAAAATAAATTTTAAGTAATGTGATCATCAAAACCCTTTGATCTGTCGAAAATTTTAGGAATTTGCTAATGAATATTGAGGGATAGGCCTTGTATTTTTTTTCCAATAGAGTCCAATAAAATTTGCAGGCGAAACGCTACATTCTCAATTTAACTTCAATGATATTTTAAGGTTTTGAATTTATTTAATGAGTTATTTCTCTGTTGTCATAGTAACCGGTTATGTTATTAAACAATATGTACATTGGGCGTAGGCGTCCTGAATCTAAGTGCTTTTTAATGCTAAAACTTGATCCTATTACAGAAGGAAAGTAAAAAGTCTATATATGTATACTTTTCAAAAAGACTTTGTTCAATGTGACTGATATAAGCTATACCTTCAACCCTTAAAGATTTAATTTTATATACATCTACTGACTGAGCTGAAGTATGAAAGGTTATCCCACTAGCAGTATATAGCTTGTTGTGAACATTTTACTGACAACATTTCAAAGGAATTGTACACAAGTTCCAAAAACTTTGATAGTCCTCTCCCATACATAAAATGTCAACAGTCATATCTACAAAGATTTATAAATTTTACAATGATATACATGCATGAACATAAAAGAACAAAAACAATAGCTATTATTTGTGTCTCAGGACAAGCCCTAGTCCTTAGGACAATATCATTTTAACGATAGAATGTTCTATCTAGTCCAGGTGGTTTGTCGTTCATTTTGTTGAATCCACTAGTACATCCATTCCCAGGAATGTTACTTGGGTATCAATAAAATGTCTATTTGTCTGCAAATTAAGATACATGAATAAGTTAATAGATAAGTAGCGGCTGGAATATTCGGCTTAAAAACTATTACTCTTGTAAAATAAAATAAATAACCCAAATAATCGGAATGAAAATTTCATAATCGAGCACTTGGATTTATTATGCTAGCAATCGACTGATTTTTGATTTAATATAAACAATTGGAACAACACTACAAGAAAAACTTCTGATATTTCATTAGACCTACCATTATTATCTTAGCAATATAAAAGAGTTATTTCATGATTACCATGTTTAACATGTTAATCGCACATTTCCGACAGGCAGGCAAGTCTAAGATAGACTGCATTTAAAAACAAGTAAGAAAGTTGTACGTGAAATGTTTCCAAATAAGATCACTAAAAATTGAATGCACACCTTGCCGCCAACATTGATTGATTTAATGTGCCATTTTTCATTTCAATGCAACTATGGTGCATGGCGCAAGCCAATCCCAATCACTGCACATAATGACATATGGAATAAATTGTTAGTGATATTCAATTTTTACTTAATGATCTCAATTAAAAATGGCGTAGTTGTATCCTCACTTAATTCTGTAATATTTGATATAGAAATATATACCGGTGTGTATAAATTTATGATGAACAAACATCATTTAAATATATTTCCTGTGTTTGAATTAGGGAAAAAATTCAAGAGACATTAGCAGTGTGTATCAACATAAATATTTTGCTTACTTTTCCTGATTATATAAGCATAAAATTTTATCATTTACATTTTAAAAAATGATATGTTTCCGTTGCAGATAATATATACATGTATTTTTATCATTAAAAAAACATGCTCGTTCCAAAAAAAATTATACTAACAACAATTTGGGTTTTGATCATTGTAGGTCCTTCCCCGGAAGAACCAGTTGAGGAATACCAGACCAGTCTCAGAAATCCCAGGTAAGGATTAGTGGGGTACCGTGTATTGTTGTTGTATTCCTTTGTTATTCTTGCATTTTGAGCTATAGTCTGGGAGAGGAATATATTTACCAAACATGAGTGTATCATATATTACCTTTAATATTTATACAAATTATTTAGTCCCCAAGTCTTTGTAAAAAATGTTTGGAACTTGATTGACAAAATTTTTTTCAAAATTGTTTGTTTTTAAAATGGATGAAACAACCACCAGTATCTTATTACTAACAATAATCCATGATTCATTTACTGGTTGACCGTTTCAAAAATAATAAAATTTTTGAAAGACACACCCACAAATGAAGAGCCTCTTTAAACAGCTTTCTTTATAACACATTTACTTTGGTGTAAAGGATACAGGAAAAGAAGTACATGTATTGTGTACTAGTACATACATGTATGTATAGCTACATGAGTATGTTGTATTGTGTAGTGTCATTTTGTTCTATTTTTGTTGTTTTTATTTTGATTTCTTATTATTTTTATTTTGTTTGAGACCTGGTCATTGTTGGAAATCAGAAAAAAAAAACACCATAAAACAAAAAAAATCAAAGAAAATAAATGCATACAAGAAAACGTACACAAAACAAATGAAAATTTAAAATTTCGTATGAGTTGGAAATAATAAATTGTTATTCCAATTCTTTTCTATTAAGACATTATTAAACATTATTTTAAACTTGCAAGATCATAAAAAATTGTTTTTTTTAATTTTAATTGTACTTAATGATCAGTAACGTTAGTATTTCCTTAAATTTTCCTGTTGTTGCACAAGATGATGGTTACTACCAAGATACAAAATTGCAGTATGTAGTATGTACATATTAAATGATAAAGTACAAGGAAAGAAAACTAGTACTCATTCATAAGGAGCAGATAAACTACGATGTAGAATTATGCTAATTCGTAATTTCCCGAGAATAAGTTCCACCACAGTAAGCCAGGTCTCATTTCCTTGCATGGTGCATTTTTATTCAGTTGGTGTTGAGTTTTATTTATTTATTTTTTCATTGCATGTAGTTGTCGTTTGCACAATGCCGTTCCAAACCAAGAGTGACCAGATCGCCAAATTACGAGGCACAGCCGATCAAATGAGACACCACTTAAAGGTTGATCGAATGGTTATGTCCAAAACCATTGCCGAGCTAGTCGGCTACTGCAACCAAATGGCAGCTGAGGACCCCTTACTTTTCCCAGTCAAAGACAACCCTTTCAAAGACAAGAAGTCTTGTGCTATTCTGTGATGTCTTCACAGGCTTTTTTTTACCAACTATTTATATACTTCAGTTTGTGATAAAAAATATTGCTGGGGGTACAACACATTGCGATATTATAGACATCAATACTGTTTGAAAAAAAGGACAAAGTGACTTTGATCTGACTGTTTACATACAAGGAAATGTTTAAGTTTCATGTTGAAATGATGTACATATATTATACACTTTTATTTTTACATTTCAGGCATATATAAACAAAAATTAATTCACATTATATATCCGCAATAAAAAAATTTTGCCATGTCACTGCTAATGTACCTTTCTATTTCGCACTGTAATCTTTGCAATTTATCTAGTGTCGGATCAAATAGCGGAATGGAAACTCAATAGGAGAATGATTTATTTTGAAACGCTACTTGAGGCACTACAAAAAATAATGAATTGTTGCAAGTACCGGTAGGCTAGGCTTGAATGAGTGAGATAGTCAGGCACCACTTATCAATTCTGCCTGGCAGGCTTCTCTTTGGAATGATATTTTATCAGAAAATAATAAACTTCAGTCTGATTAATAAGGCTTTTTTTGCAATTACTTTTTTTCCCCATCTCCATTATAATTAATCCACAAATTTTGGGAAAAGCCCGTTTAGTGTTATGGCCCCTTTCCCATTTCTCTACTTGACATATTAGGAAAAATAAATTGATAAACTGGACAAAATATTTTTCTCGTTTTGTTTGTTTTTCTTTATGTTTTTTTTTTTGTTTTGTTTACATGAAAAGTTGTACACTTTTTTTGAAATAATTAATGGAATCAAAATGCATTCAGGATTTCTAGCATTATGTAAGCACTCCTCTGCGAGGAAATGATTAGCTCTACTTCAGAAAACCTTAAGAGTTTTTGGTAGAAAAGCAAATTCTCCTCGTGGCGTTTAAGAATGACTTTAGTATGCATAAGTGGGTTGTTGTTGTATGTAAATATAATATGTGTTTGTCATATAACCAGAATGTAATTAATCACATTGATTGTATTGGTCAAAGTCTGCAATAAATATTGTAATTTAATTATATGTTGTGGGTTTTATGCATGAAATTCTTTATATTAAAATTTAGTTTAAATATGATTTTTAAGAATTTTAACTCCACATCAGAATTTGAAAAAAAGAGATCTTCCTTACAATTGTAGCATTGATAAATGGACATTTTTTGATAAATTATCTTATTTCCATATAATCAATAACTTGCCAATTGAATGTATTCATGGCCTCGCTTTGATCCCATGTCCTGTGATGTAACAGACCGTTTGTCAGCTGTGGTAATCCCACACTGGATTTTCATCAATATTAGGGTATGTGAGAGTGGAAATTTTGGTGGGTTGAAAACCTTGTTAGGTGTGGTATTGTAATATTGGTTATATTACCTGTAAAAGACCAGATGTGCATGCCTATGCAGTGGTAATGTCCTCTGTTGCATCTTTTATTCAAAATGTTATGCCTGCTACAACTTTGGTCCCATTTCAATAAAACAGGTAGAATACATGAAGTTGCCTTTCATGTATTGATTGTTGAATTTAGTGAACAACATTTCATGGTAATTAAATAAAAATGTCATAGAAATTCATTCAAAAGGCTACCCATTTTACAGTTTTTGTCTTCTTGTCCAATATTAAGTAACATTTATTCTTCAATTATGTTTTGTTTATACATGTAAAAACAATTTTGATAAATTTACTAAATGCAGGTTTGCTGTGAAAGTTTTTCAAAACATCACACCTAAAATTTTGGTTTAAAACTTGCAAAAAAAAAAAAAAATAAAAAAATTCTATAATCTTTCTCTTTCTTTATTATATGCACTAGTCCACCCTGTCAAGCTAATCTCATCAAAGACTTATGGTTACAGTAATTTTCTGAATTAAAAAAAATCGGGACTATAGTTTCTCCAATGAATATAAGGAACAGTAGAAAGGATGGCTTGTTTTTTGTCGGATTTAATTAATTAGCATTGGCTATTACATAATACTGTCTTGATATACTTACGTAGATAATTTTTCCTCTCATCTAATTGAATATTGCTAATTAAGTTACCTGATGGCTTCAAATTTTAATATAAATCTCATTTTGAAAATTCAAGACAGCAAATATAATCTTGAGGACAAGCCAGATGTTCTAATTATAGATTTATCCAACACAAAGTCTGACTTGAACTGTATTCTTGAAATTAAGCAAAGGAGTAATAGGCAAAGATACTACTTTAAAGTTTATGCGAACTTTAAGTTTGTGCTATGAAGTCTTGTGAGCAAAGGAGTCATTGGCACTATAAAGTTTATGCTGGCTTAAATTTTTTCCAAGAAATCTTGTTCTTAGACTAAGAAAAATCATTATAAAGCAGGGATAGTGTTAGCAGTATATATGGTCGTGATTACCTTCAATTCAACAAGTTGCTTTGAACGCCAAATTGCTGTTTCCATGGACATGCAATGGATGACAGATCTATCTGGTCATTGATTTTTACACCGTGAATAATTTATAATTCTCAGGTTATAGAGGAAAATGAAGTTGTTTTGTTCAGCAGAAGACATCATGTTTTTGCTGATTATTTTGAACGTAAAATTCCTTTATGTCAGAAACATAAAAGATCATGAAACAGAATGAGTGTATGAATATTAATTGGGTATAAAGACTATGCTGCATTTTGTGAGATAGGTTGAGGGAAAAAATCTTTGTTTTTACAGAAAAAAGTAAAGTGAGACTTTGATAAACTGATGCCCTTTGTTAACGAAGTGACAGACACCCAACACATCAGTTAATCCTCGAGCTCACTTTTAATATTGGTACATATTCTGGACTGTACATTCTGCAACACTCATTGCATTTGTTAGAAGTCAGTACTGTTATTACGGCTAAGCTTTCTTAATTGGTCTCCTGCTGGGTTTGCTTTGAGATTATTGACTAAATTGAAAACCGTCGATAACTTCAATATACTTTGACAAAGCATAGAAATCGGTGCAATTACCTGACTTTTAAATAAACAAATAATAGGAATCGGTAACTGTGGATTATAAGCTTTGAACGATCAGGTTGCCCAAAATGGTTTCGTAGAAATCATTTGTAATAAAAACATCTTTGCATCACTATCAGTGGCTAGTTTTAATGGTTTAGAAAATGTCCTTTTACATGTACGTATTTGAGGAATGGGTGTATCTATTGGAATTTACTTCTGGAATCCTCGATTAAGATCTAGATATAGAGTGCGTTGTACCCAAGGTTTCTGTCACGATGTGATCTAAAAGAAAAATCATTTGCAAAGAGAATTTTTCCTTCATTCAAGGTTTGACTTTCTTGTCAATATAATCAAAGTGTTAGTATAAAGGAAATCGATGAAGATGAGGTTGAATAAACATGAGAATCTAGATTTTTTTTTTACCTTCACGTTGTCTTCTTAAAAAAAATAGAAATTTTTCAGTTAAAATTTATCATGGTAGAGGACAAAGTTGCTAGTACAATTTTCAGCTAATCTTGGACTTTCAGTAAGGCGTGATATTCTCGTCGTTACATAATAAGCTTCTGAAATTTACACAGCTTTCATTTACTGTTGAAATATACATGGGATAGAAATTCGGGCGAATGCCAACGAGTGTAGCAAATAGCCAATAACAAGGTCTCGTACGGCAAAGAGGTGGGGCTTAAGTCGTCTCATCGTTGTCAACAACAATTAAGGTTCCTGATATTATTAGTTTCTTAACCAATGAGAATCTATTCGCCATTTGACAGACGCTAATTACGTAGCGCCGAGAATGCCACGCCTTACTGAAAGTCCAGGTTAACTGAGAATTGTACTAAAAGATTTCTTTCTTTAGCATTGGCTGTATTGTTTCTGGAAGCCTTTAATCGTATAGTTGATTTCAAAAATCGAATCGTATGCTACATGTATAAATAAAAATTAGATGAATGGTGTCTGCAGATAGTCTCCTAAGGATTTCACGACATTCACATTAATAGCTAGGGTATGATGTTTAGAGTAGACATTACCAGAAGGGGGAGAAATATAATTAGCTAGTGACCAACAAAATTGCGATCCATTTTTAGCCCAGCATCGGTTGGTTTCGTATACATACATTAACTGCATGATTTTAATTAATCTCGTCAAATAATGTGATTTGTTCGGGAGAGTTGCTTTTTTTGCATATAATTTTTTTTCACAAAAACAAGTATATTTGAAGTAGCTTGCTATTAATATGAGGAGAGTTTCAGTTCTGTGTTAACTCTTGTTGCAAAAAGTTTTCATTGCTTTTGTAAATGTTTTAAATATATACGTAAGAAAGTTGTAACCTTAGTAAATGGCATGTTTCTTATGTATGACGATATACCAAACTATAAATGTGCATTTATGCCTCGGATTATGTTTGCTCAAGTGGCATAGTTTAGATTCGTTTTGACAGAAAGATCCACAGTTGCGGCATTTTTAATTTTTAAATCTTTAATAACATGAAAAGTAAACTTGTGGTCCAAGAGGAACTGTTTTTGCTACGTGTATGCACTTTATCTTATTTCTCATATTTTTTTTTATTGATTAGTTTTTACACACTTCAGTTCTGCAGGGGATCCAGTGGGATTTTTTTTTTCTCATTGGAATACAGTTGGTTTGAGGAGCACCTATTTGGATATCGTGATTTTAAAAAATCTTTATGTTATAGTAGATGATTTTCGATTGAAGGATAATTGTCGGCAAAAGTCTCAAGCTTTCACTTTGAACATATCATTTCATTCTTACAGGACGTAGCGATACTCAAAGATGAACAAATTTCAGGAGGGTTTGCAACAGCAGCGGAAGTTAGTCGAGCAGCTCCGCCTGGAAGCAGCACTTCCCCGAGTGAGAGTTTCCGAATGTGTCCGGGACATCAAGAAGTACTGCGACCAAAATGCAGAGGAAGACGTACTGATCCGAGGATTTGCCCGCCCTGGGGACAACCCCTTCAAAGAAAAAGGCGGCTGTGCCATTCTATAGGCACTGCTTTCAGAAAATAGCTTTGCCTTACTTGGATTTATTACGATATGGAAAAAAACCAACTTTATTTTACTCATTGGTTTTAATTTTTTTTCCAAGAGGAAAAAAATGTCGTTTTTTGAGGGGGTTGTATGATATATATTTTAATGAGAGAATTGGCGTTTTTATTGTGTAAAACTGTGTTCGTATATTTGTGCTATAAATGCTGTAAATTTCATTCAACAAATTAAGGTTAAATCAAAATGATTGGTTGTATGTTTGATTTGTAAATTTGATTGTAATTCTTACAATTCTTTTGTGTTTTTGATTGCAATCGGGTATTCAGCAAATTCTTCCAGATTTCACTCTTTTGTAAGCTGGGATACTTGTACAGTTTCACTGAAATGATAAAAAGAGGTTTACATGGAAATGAAACACGAATAGTAAGAACTTTCACTATTATTTTAAATTTCAAATGCAGGACATTTGAATTCCAACAAATTTGAATCGATTAAAAAATGTATTATTTTACGTAACTTGCATCTTCTTTCTTCAAAGCGTTTGTGTTTGCATTTCAGCAAAGATTTATTGTGCTTTTTTTGCTTGTTTTTAAATTTTTTGACAGTTGGTTTTCCACGGGTATGTTCTGCGTATAGAAAGTGCACAGATTGTTTCATTGTAGCAAGAAAATCCATGATTGTTCATTTGAAATCATTTTAAAAACCACTTTTTCAATCGTACAAATAATGTATAATTAGGGAATTAAGATCAGTTAAATGATTGTTTTTTTTATTATTATTTTTATAATAAAAGTGATATTTTCCGTAGAATTTTTCAACTTTGATGACATCGGAAATTTTTGTTATTTAAAAAAAAGTTCATCCATTATAAATACAAACTCGTTCTTAATTTGTTCAAAAAGACTTAGGTTTTAAAGACTTCATAGAAACAAGTTTGTGTTTCTACTGAACATACAAATCTATTTACGGTAGTCTTTCTTATGGCGAAAATTCAGACAAAATAAGTACTGCAGACTACTTAGTAAATGTTAAACACAAAACATTCTGTCCAAAGCTCCATATCTCCCCAATATTCAAAAGACTGTGCTGAATTTAACATTGTCATACCGGTAATCTTAACAAGGCCTTAATGTCACGCTACATTGTATTACATGATTATATTTTATTTTTCAAATTGACAAAAGAGTAGCTCAATTTCCCGAAAGTCATAAATTTTTCATTCCAAGGACAACAATTTGAAATGATTTATTTTTTTTCCGAATTATCAATTCCATTGGGAATGCAAAGGAGAACTGTCATTTATAACACGCTTGTGTACTATATAGTTTATTATATACTTATTTATTTTTCTTGATATTGTCTCAAATGTTGTAGGATGACTTGTTAAGAGTTAACTTTTTTTGTAGGCATTCACATATTTATAAGTTCCAAGTATTTATATTTGACAAATTTGATTCGATTTTTTGTTCTTCAAATTTTGTGTATTCTTGAAAGAGGAGAGTTCTGTTACATTTTTTAGACACGCAGGAAACTGATAAGGTTGTGGCTCTGAGTGCATGGAAGAACTGTGTATTAACTCAAAATTGAATATATCCATATCTGGTTATATGTGTTGTGTGACATAGTAGCTTGAGACGTTTGTAAAATGTACATGTAGCTCAATATTAATAGCACATTGCTTGACGAAATTTTCTGTGAATCACTGTTAATTTTGATATCAAAATTTCAAGATTCACATTTATTTAGGCTTTTAATTCATGTTTCAATTTTTAGATTATCTGTTTTGCCAAAACTTGAAAATTAAAGTCTTCATGTCTGATAATTTGTCATTTATTGTCTAAAGTGTGAGAGAGAATACGGGATATAATTTTTTTTTTACGATTGTCCTGTTCTTACAACGGGGGCCTTTTTTTTCTAAGTATAGTCTTTTGCTATAGTGAATTTTCATACGCAAGTTTTCCCCTCCCACTCTACAAATTTTATTGTTATTGTAAGGTCATATTCCATGATTTGTTAAAAAAAAATGTACCATAAAGTGAGAGATAATCTAACTAAAATTAAATGTTCCGAATCTGCTACCGCTGTTGAGGATTCGGAACATCTAAATATGTAATTTTAATTAGATTGAATGAAAGAAAGATCCAACTTGGCCAGATTAATCCTCCGATCAGCAAGAATTTTAAATTATTTCTATTTTGATGCGTTATAGTTCAATCCTGATATGAATTCATTTTGTCTTGAAAAATATTTTCTCTAGTATGGGTCCAGAAATTCTTTTCTGGGAAGGGGGATAAAGACTTAAATATTTTGAAAAGCAAGGCAAAGTCTAAGCTTTTTTTTCTCAAATCTGAAATGTCAAATACTTATGTAACTGAGTTTATTCCGAATGTTTGTTTTGTTTCCTGGATCATGTAATGCCATGTTCCTCAAGTATCGACTAATCCGGAAAAAAATCATAAATATCTGTTCCCACTTGTATTTGACGCAATAACTCCAAAAATGCTTTGAAATTTACAGCTCTTTAATTAATACTTAATGATAATCTAACTGATATAATAGGAGATGTAATAGATTAATGCAATATTAAAAGATTGCTCTTAACTTTGCTTCCGGATTTCAATAAAAGATTTTAAATACGTCCACCGGGTATTGTTACGGTAATTAAAGCCTTGGCTTTAACACGACTCATGTTATCATAAGTGTGAAATCTATATTACATACTCTTACTTTTGTCTAGCCGCGTGATTATCATATTTAAGATACCCCCTCCAGACAAGAATAAAATCATAATTAAATGTATTTGTCTGCAAAGCATTCAGCCATAAAACAACGCTTCCAATATTTAATACAAGAAAGTTTCTCCCTTGACATACTGAAATCGATGCTAGAGTGGGATACAATTTGGCTGATAAATGATATTAATATGGATTATTCCCGGAGAGCCGAATTATTTGAAATTCTTTACATCAACACAAATATTGAGTACACTTTACCGCCCTCACTGATGAAAGCTGCTGAGGAACCGATACTGAAGGTACACGGCGGACCTGAATGCTCCTGTGATCAAAGGATCTCCCACTGTCACACTCAAAATGTACTGGACCAAGATCTGTTTCATCTAATTGGTAAATAAAAGTTATTTTCCACCACCATTTCTCAAGAAAGGACATTTTCGATTATAGTTAAATAATTTTCCCACAATATTGTTACAAAAGATATCTCAATTTTGGTCAAAGTTCATTTTTTAAGGCTTGGGAGGACATGAATATGAATAAATTTAAAACAACCATTTTAGTCGTAAATATCTTGATTAAATTGATTTCCCATTGTTTTTAACAAACTATAAATTTCAAAATGTTTCGATCGTAGTGCCAGAAATTGAATTGCTTTAGAATTTGTTTTAATTTTTTTTTTAATTGCATTCATAGATTCCCTATCCCCAGCCGAAGAGAATACTTTTGCAGAAGAGTTCGACAATGTGAGTGATGTCATAGATTTCTTGTGTGACTGTGAAGTAACGGAAGTAGAGAACTTCTCAAATGTTCAGCCAATTAATAATGATGAAGACGTTAATCAAACGATACTTGTAGAGCCTGTTAACGGTCCAGAGAAAAAGCAAACACATCAAAGAAAACGAAAGCGAGATTTTGAGGAAGTATTTGAAGTATCTGTGAAACGTTTACGTAGTGGAGTTTGTTCGAGTGGATTTTCTTACCTTTGCCGGTTATCACCAGGAAATAACATACGGAGTTTGTAGAAAAATGCAGAAAATATGTGTCAGTTGGATATCTAGTGCTATTGTTTATATGCTCAAGAGAATTAATAAACATGAATGAAAATGATTGTTACTTGAATTTTTCAACGGAATGGAAACAGGTTAAATACATGCAGAAAATCTGTTTCAATTGGATTTTCTAGTGCTATAGAATATATTCCAAAGACTATGAAAGAAATATGAATGGACATGATTGTTACTTTAATTTTTCCACCAAAACTTGAAAGGAAACGGGATATTTCAACATTTAAATTTTCACTGGTCAAAATTTAGCTAGTAAATTTAGGGGAATGTACTGCACTTATGTATTTAAGAATTATCAGTGGTTAGAAGACAAAAAATTACCGAAAATAAAATTGCTTGCGAACTCAGTTTTCAGGGGTTGTGTAAAGGGGGGGGGGGTAAAAAAATATTACCAAAAGGAAAAAAATGTATCAGGAAAAAAATTGATAATCAAACAAAAAAAAAAAAAGAATGAAATATATGGAGATAACGAACAATATTAAATTTAAGCTTAAAAGTCTATCAAACAATACAAAACATTAGAGGTGGGGACACTTGCCGTAAAGGAGTGAGCAGTCCCTGCCAACCGGTCACTCCCGCCGTGTGCTCCTTGTCTTGG